TCTCTCTCTCTCTCTCTCTCTCTCTCTCTCTCTCTCTCTCTCTCTCTCTCTCTCTCTCTCTCTCTCTCTCTCTCTCTCTCTCTCTCTTGCGAGAGTTCTTAGTCTCATTGCTTTGGCTACCTTAGGGCTGCGTTCCCCGCGCCCACGCGGTAGACAATGCATACGGACCCGCGCGGTGCACCAATTCAGCCACCGCGTTAACAACCTAAAAATGTTGAGGTACTGGTGGCTTAAACTTACGGACGGCGGCCTCCTCGGCGTCCTAAGGGCAGCTACCAGTCCTCTTTAAGCAATAATTGCGCATTCCCCATGAGTTGCCCCCGCAACAATTCCATCATCCTTCCAACTATCGTTTGGTCTCGAACAGACGACCAGTATAACGAAGGACGACGAAATTTACTTAGGGGGTATAAAACGCACCCCTGATGGGCCACAAACAGGCTGTTACCACACAAAACCCCGTTCCTTGTGACCCCCCTCCAGAAAGGGAAACCGTGGGTAGTGCCTGCGAGCGCCTTCGGCCTACCTTCCTCGCCTACTGCTGGGCTCCTGCCTCTCAGATGACCGGTGTCACAGCAGGGACTCCACCCCTTGCTCCACCTCGCTAGACCCGTCTAAATGTCAACAGGAACTTCTCCCCTACGCAACAGTCGCAGCCTCCGTAGGGCAGCGTTAGGGCGCAGAAGCTCGACGATGCCTTAGCTGAGGCCCATAGGACTGTGAGGCCTGTAAAACCTCACACCTTTAATTTGAGGAACCAGGATGGCAGTAAACCCGTATGTCCAGAGTCCGGCTTCTTGAACCGAGATCTATTTGGGTGTTCGCAGCCAGAGGCTGCGCTTACCTTGACTGCAAGTTTTTTTTTCCTTTTCGGGAAATGTCGTGGGATTCAATTGAGGTTGGCGGGGGTGTCTTTGGCTTTAAGAGGGAGGCGGGAAGGGKGCGGTCGCGGCTAGGAGACGGACCGGTCGTTGATGGGTTTGCTCAATCGGTCGTTTCATGAGGTCGGTCGGGTTTTTGATGGGCGGCGACCTGTTTTCCTTTTTCGGCAAACAACTTTTTTCGAAGGGATTTTCGAAGGCATACAACGGAGGGTCGAGGGAGTGGTCGAAATAGGCTAAAACCGGCTAAGGCTACATGCTAAGGGTCTAGTTCCTTCGAAGTGGTTTTTGTGGTGCCGTCGTTGGGGGGTTCTCTTCTAGAATACACTTCGTACAGGCTTCACACAATGTTGTTTTTCTTTTTGTTTTTGTTTGTTTCGTTTCTCTGTTGTCCCCCTCCAGCTAGGCAGGGCGGTTCCGTGATCTGCTGCCTCTTCCAAGACTGCATTGGAGAATGGATCTAACGGTAGTGTAGGGGAACATTCATAATGTCGTTTTTTTCTTTTTTTTGGTTCTTTTCTTTTTCTTATAGTCCCCCAAGCCACCGCCTTCCCCCGAACACAACGCACCCTTATTTTGGTTGTATCTAGCCGGAAATATAGCTTGTATACATTCATTATTAGGGTGCGTTATGTTCGGGGGAAGCCGGTAGGCAGGGCAGTTCGGTAATCTTGGGCCTCGCCAGACCACTCTCGAAATGTGCAAAATGAGAATGAACTTCCCTCTAGAACATGGTCAGATGCACCGGCCAAAGTTTTGTCTTTTTCACATTTCGAGAGTAGTGTGGCGAGGCCCCTTCTCTCTCTTGGAAAAATTAATCGAACTTCTTCCAGGGCCAAAGAGGACGCTGCTTTTTTTTCCTTTTTTTTTTTTTTTTTTTTTTTTTTTTTTTTGTCGTTGACAATGCCCAAGGCTGGGCCAACCTCCCAGCCCTGATGGAAGCGGAAG